AGAATGTCCTCTTGGCACAAGGCATGTTTCCAAAGAGTTTCATTGAGAAGGTCAACCTCTTCTCTTAGCAGTAAACTCTTTGGCATTACATTCCATTTGGACCGCCTGTTTCCTCTTTCACAAACTCCTGAGATACAACTCTTAGACTGAACTGAGTCAAAGATTTAATGGAAAATTACATTTAGAATCACCTGACTCTCCTTGTGTGAGCTGTGTGGGTTCTGTTCTCATGCATTTTTCATCACCGCCAAACAGCTTGAGAGTGTCACACTTTACCATCACACTCCTGAGCCCAAGTTTTAAATAGAAAAATTTTTAAACTATATTAAACTTCAATATGAAATGATCTTCAAGGGAAAAATATTATGTTCACAGTTCCACAGTAAATTATTTAAAATCAGAAAGGGGAATCTATCTGTTTAGTGAGGTACTTCTAAAGAAGTAACTTCAACCTAAGAAAAACCATAAAAAGACAAAAGAGTGGGCTAGCCAGGGCCCTTTTATCTCTGTAAGAGAGATAATCGTCCAACCAAAAACACAGGAAACTTCCAGTGACCTTAACTGGAATCACCAATACATTATCTGAAGAAGAGATGTTTGATCTGTAAAGGAAGGATGGCCGACTTAGTACATGACTGTTGAATGGAATTGACAGCCAGTGTTGGTTGGATTTGAATTTAGAACTTTGGTTTCAATCTTCAATTTTATTTAATTATTTTACTATTCAACTCTCTGGGCCTTGCTGCTCTCACACCTAAAATGAAATGAATGGATTATATGCCATCTAAGGACCGTTTCAGCTTTAAATCCTATGATCTCACACTACTAAGAAAATGTGTGTATATTATGCATAGATAAAGATATATACATATATGTGTATTGTATATTTACATAATTAGTGTATGTATATATACATGCATAAACATGTGTATATGCATAGACATATGTATTTGTGTGGATTTGGGTCATCATATGGATGTTTATATAAACACGCAAGTAGATATGAATTATAGATTTCTATCTAATTGCTTTCCATAAAAGAGTTGATGTATTTAACAAATAGAATTTTTTCACGCAAGTCAAAACCGTATTTAATCTTTATTGCTTTAGCAAAACTAAAATGGGAAAATTAGACAAATGAGGAAATAGTCTCAGGAAAACAGAGGAAATGTTCAAAAATGCAATTGAGAAAATACTGATGGCCCAAAGTATTCTATTTATCTAATTAAATGGATTCAGATGCATTAACTGATCTGGTTAAAGTACATTCCATTAACACTGAGTTGTCAGAAAATTAATATTTTGCCACATGTCGTGGTAAAAACAATCAATTTTATTTGTCCTGTGAAATTGATATGTAGGCGTTATGGAAATAGACTCTAATTTCCAGATCAATCACATTGACATGACACAAACCACTGAAAAATGTAAAATGTCCTTGTAAAAGTTATCCTAATCCGCAAAGAGGAGTAGCTTGGCAATGCTGAAATAAGTGTGTCCGTGTAATCCTCTCTGTACTTGGAGGGCCTAAATCCAAGCAGACCTCCTATTACCACATGCAAAAGTGCAGCCGATTTCATTCTGGGCTACATAATGGTCACTGTACCGGAACAGTGCCAGGAATGCAACTACTCCATCCTTTCTGGCTAAACAAAGAAGGGAACCTCAGGATAGCTTGCAATCCAACGCTTTCATTCTGTGCTTATAAAATAAAATTTTCAACTTTTATTGGCCTACTTCTGATCTTCTTGGAGAAATGATGACATTCTAAAAAGTCACTTAAACAAATAATTACAACTGAACATGATTTTAGCTACCAAGGGAGAATGTCATATAGACAGGGAAGGAAATTTCATGGACAGGCCCCTATATTCTGCTCCTTACTTCTTTACTTAACAGTACATGCTGGGGATAGTATATTAGGAAATAAAAATTGCAGAAGGCTAACGGGTAAAAAGGACAGTAAAAGTACTAGCAGTCACTAACTTCACAGAGATGTAGAATTCTGTGAAAGGAGAGTGATTTATTTTCTCAGAATAAAGGAACAGGAAACTCTTCATTGTCTGCCCCAGGGGAGAAGAACTTTAGTACAGAAGATAGAAATACAGCTAATTCACCCTGTTGAATTGGGGCTGTAGCTCTAACCCTTATGTGAATGGAGTTCCCTGTGGCTAAGTGGTCTAAGGTCAGGCCCTGGATATCCTGACACAGAAGCCACCATGTTGGCTCTGACCTACAATGGAACATTTACTAAGTGCCTAATAATTCTCAGAATTTTGGGCAGCTAGGTGGCACTATGGATAGAATGGTAGGCCTGCAGTCAGGAAGACTTATCTTCTTAAATTCAAATCTGATCTCAGACACTTACTAGCTGTGTGACTCTGGGCAAGTCACTTAACTCTATTTGCCTCAGTTTTTTCATCTGTAAAATGAGTTGGAGAAGTAAATAGAAACTACTCCAGTATCTTTGCCAAGAAAACCCTAAATGCGGTCACAAAGAGTTGGATATGGCTGAAAAATGACTAAACAAAGAGAATTCTACCGTCTATGGAAGTCCCATTGCCAATAGTACAGAAAATCCCTTAGAAAGGAAATTAATAATGTGTATGGAAGAAATCAAGTGTGAACACAATAATGCCTCCATTATAAGGATGGGGTCACATGGAGTCTTAGATTTTCATTATATTTGGAGTCAAAACACCCAAGTTCAAACCCCAATCTTGCTACTTACCACCTATATGATCTAAGACAAGTCACTGATTTCTCTAGGCCTTGTTTCACAAATTGGACTATATGGTCCCTTTTTCAAAGTCTATGGTCCCATGATCCTCTAATTATATCTCTTCATTTTACTTCATTTAGTGATTTTTAAAAGGCTATCTGGATTATACATGTCAGTTCCTGAGCTGAAGGCCATTTTAAAACATTTTCCAAAATATTTACTTCAGAAAAAAAATTGTTATTAAATCCCAGTGCCTGGCACATCATGACAGGTATTTAATTAGTGTTTGTTGATTGATTAAAGGAGTCCTCCTTAATAAGGTGGAAGGACAAGAGGGTGATTACTTATTGGTAGTTAGAGTCAATATTTTTGTAGTCATAATACCCCAGATTATTGCCTGATTTCACAAAACCCCATTCTAACCTGTGCCATACAATTTTTAATTTCTTAAAGTTAATATTTTTTTATTTCATATTACCACTTGAGATTATTGATAACAGCCTAAGAACAGCAAACAAAAGTTTTTGAAAACCATTGAGCACTCCAGTGCTCAATTGTAAACATCATCCTTGTACTGCATAAGAAAGGCTTTAAAAGGGTGCCAATTCAAATAAAAATCACAGTTCATTGTAAATTCCCTGGACTTTACAATGCTACTCACTACCTAATAGTTTTCCCACTTCTGTAGAAAAAACAAAGAAATATAGCCAAATGGTTTGACCACATTGTGAACCAAGAAACCTGGATTCTTGGAGCGCAGAGAGAACAGTTTGTATCTATGGTATCAGATTTCAGATTCAGCCCCCAACAGAAATATGAATGGTATGTGTATGGTCTATTCTATTCGGACCTTATGCAGATTTAGAAATAATGGGTAAAAGCTTCATAGAGACAGATTTGACCTCAATATGAAAAAAAAAAAGACTTATCAATTAGAGCTGTCCAAAAGTAAGCCCAGCTTGGCCTTAAGAGGGAGTAAGTTCTCCCTTCACTGGAGGTCTTCAAAGCCACGGGTGGATAGCCATTTGCCAGGGATATTGCAAAGAATTCTGGATTCCACTTTAGGATGGGCTGTCTTATGTGACCTCTATGATCAAGATTTCATGAAAGAGCAAGTGATCTCAGCTTTAGCAGAAGACGTCAATAGAAGGCTTCTCTTAGCTTTCAACAGCTTTTCAAAATTATCCAAAGGTTCAAAATAAGAGCACCTCTTCATTGGGTCTGTAAAAGATGAAAGCTCCCCAGGATTTGAAGTTGCAGAGTTGCACCACTCCCTGTTGCCCTTAGCAATTACCATGAGATTCAAAGGTTCCTTTTCTCCTATCATAGATGAAGACATGTGAAATTTCTATTAATGTTGGTGAGAGGTTAAAAACCCATCATTAAAGGGAAAGTTGGCTTGGAATTCTAAACTATTTCAATACAACAATGGAAGTCAAGTTTTGAAAAAGTCACTGGGATGAAAAAGAAAGCTTATCTTTGCCAAGATACCACTGCCAGCACAGATACAGAGGAAGAGACAGGCAGGTTAGCAAGCACAGATATCATCTACAAGAGGAGCCCACATTCTACTTAACCCTGTACACATCATTTAAACTGCGCATTGAACCTGGTCTCTTCTGGTTAGCCCCCTTAGTTCCAATTTTTCCTGGTCTTCCTTTTTGCAGCTCCTACATCAGAAAAAAACTGCACTCAGTCTCTGGTTCCCTGGGTAGGTTTCTTTAGTGTGACTATAAGGGATCTTGGATTCCATCTAATATAACCCCCTCATCTTACATATAAAGTCAGGAGGTCAGAAGAGATCAAGTGACTGGCCTGAGGTCACACTGGCAGTAGTAACAGGAATAAGTTTCTCAGCCAAAAGTGAGCTGTGATTCCTGTTGCCCATCAATCCTGACTAATTCCATATTCCTTCCAAGCAGTTCTGATACCAGATTATTCATAATTAAGAATTTCTCTAAATGAAGCCAAACAGAACACAAGCCTTCAAAAACATAATTCCAAGTCATTCCTTATAAGCTTCCAGGGTGCTAATGAATAAAGGATCTTCATTTTAATTGCTATTTTTCTCCCAAAACATTATAACTCACTGGTGGAGTTAGTTGATCAATTAACATTTATTAAGCGCCTACTATGTAACAGGCATTGTGCCAAATGCTGGAAGTAGGCAGGATAATGAATTCATAATACCACCAGATTCCCTAGATAGTTTGCTATCATTAGAATTTTAGCATAACGCTTCTGTTGACAGAAAGATAACAGGGTATTCTGTACTTACAGAGCTGGGGCTAGAATGTCGGCGGACTTTAGGAGATTCCTTCCCACTGGAGGAGGATTTGAAGTTAATGCAAGCATTATTCTCAGAATGGACCCTCTTCACTTGAGTGGCAGGTTTCTCGAAGGGGTCGAAAGTGCTTTGTGTCCTCTGAACCCGGACTTTCTTGTCCTCAGGAATTGTGTCCAGGGGTTTGATTACTGAGTCCACTCCCGGGCAGTTCCGTGTAGACATCTTTGTGACACATATCTGAAAGAATAAACAAATTAAATTCAGTATTTTGCTCAATAGTCATCTTTCAACAGTACGGTGGGTGAAAGATGAAATGACTGAGGAAACAAAGGTTTGAGCTTCTAAGGACATCAATTAACGAATTGGGGCGATGAACAGGCATTGCTTAATAAATTGATATGCTCAGAAGCTCAAAACTTTGTTTCCTCAGTCATTTCATCTCTCACCCATAACATCACCACAAAATATATCGATATTACATCATTTAAACTAATTTGATCCAACAAGCATTTTCGAGCAGGCATGACATGTGAGACACTATGACTGGCAATGGATCACAAAGACAAAATGAAAGCTAGCCCTTGCCCTCAAGGGGTTTATATTCTACTAAAAGGAATACAACATTTGACACAAAAACAGTATGAACAAAGGCATGAAGGTGGATGAAGGAATGCCAAAATCAGGAGAGGGAGTGTTCAGTGAACAGTAAGTATGCAGGTATGGCAGAATACAAACTTCAATTTCATTAAATTTTTTTCTGTATCATAACTGGAAAGGTTATGCCAACTTATAACAATAAAAAAATTTTAAAAATATAAAGAAGCAGATTTAAACTTAAAGTCAGGAAAAATGTCCCAACAATTAAAGCCGTCCAAGGTTGCCTAGAGAGGTGGTGGGGTCCCTTCCTTGGAGGTAGGTCTTCAAGTAGAGGTTGGACAACCATTTGTTAAGTATGTAATAGTAAGGAATTCTTTCATCTATGAGTTGGTCTAAAAGGCAATTGAGGGTACTTCCACATCTAAATTATGTATTTCTAAGGGACATTGTAATCATTTAATATTCATTCATTTAAAGACTGCACATAGACCAGCTACCAAATCAGAGAGCCAGTAAAACCTAAAATGTAAAACTCAAATTGGGAAGAAAATGTGATATATATGCTGTTATCAGAGTTTTAATTCATCCTCATTGAAAGATTGGACTTGAACTATGGTACAGATGGCTTACCATCTGACTACAATTGGAAAAATTTCTAAACCATTAAGAAGTCACATGTCATTCCTAAGGGGGAAAAATGGGAAACTGAATTCATGTATTATAATTATTGCCTAGTTAGGGAGAAAAAAATAACATGAACCAGTAAACAGACAAAAACAAAAAATCTCAGTAAATATCACCAAATCTAGGTAAATCTGAATGTTTACATCACAGGGATGGAGAACCTCCGGCCAACCCCATACCAGATTTAATCTTGTTCTTGGACTGACATTGCTTTGCTTGCTGCTGCTGGAGCATAAAGAATTATTTCCATCCTAACTGAATGTTCTGCTATACTCAAAAAATACTGATTACAACAGTTGAAAAAATAGGACTAGGGAAAAAAACATGGCATAGTGGAATGACCACTGATCTTAGAATCGAAATACCTAACTCTCATCTGGCCATGTTAACTTTAGTGTTCTGTATCTCAGTTTCCCCATCTGTGAAAAATAAGTAGACTGAACAAGATGATCATTAAGCCCTCTTCTAGCTTCATGATTCTATATAATCCTCAATAATTAGTCAAAAGTCTATCGATTCTCTCTCTCATTCTACTCTTACTAAACTATTCTCTTTCCTCTTTCTTCCTCTCTTCTCCTTTTTGTCTGCTTTGGTATTCTTCCCCATCTCTTTCCTGTCTTTCTTTTCCTCACCATAACCACTATATTTCACATTCCCTTTTTTTCCCCTACTACTCTTTAACTCTGGGGGCTACCTGGCTCAGTGGATAGAGTGCTGGGCTTGGAATCTGTACAGATATGGGTTAAGAGCCTGCCTCAGACACTCACTAACTTGCCCTGGGCAAGTGACTGCCTCAGTTTCCCCATCTATAAAATGGGTATAATAGCACCTAGTTCACAAAGTTGTGAGGATCAAATGAGATAGCATATGCAAAAGCTCTATATAAAATACTAGGTATTATTACTTTTACTGTGCATTAATAAGAAATTGAAGTTTGTATATGTATATGTATGTACATATACATATGTATGTATGTATGTACGCAGTATTTATTGTATTTTAGTTTTACAATCCTGGAGATTGGAAGATAAGAGCTAACAGAATTTTGATTGAGTGGAAGATATGGATTTAGTGAATCTCAAAGGAAGAGAAGTCACTGCATGATAGAGGTAAGAGAGTCTGAAAGTGGCAGTGGGGAGCAAAGGGTACTCCCACTTCTCCATCTCAACCAGTGAGCTGAGTGAAAATTCAACTAGTGATAGAAAGGGTGTCCAGTGGATCCATGACATCAGTAGAGAGCTAGGTATCAGTAAGAGCCAGAAAATGAATGAGGTGGGAAAGAAAAAGATTTAAGATGAAAACAAGTTTGTTACTTACAGAGCATTTATTCCAGAGGACACAATGGAAGGGGTGGTTAGCTTCAGAGTGTGACATTAGAGGGAATGAGAGATTGAGGGAGATGGGAACCCAGGAGCAGGCAATAGGGGATGGAGAAGGGGGTTTGTGTAATAACAATATAGTTGGGGAGAGTATGACCAGGTTGATTACGTTAAGACATGCCCGTATCTCCCCCATCCTATCCATACCTGCTAGCTACTGTCCTATACCTACCCTCCATTTGTGGCTAAGGTCCTTGAAAACGTTATCTACAATACACGCCTCTGTTGGCTTTCTTCTGACTTGCTTCTTAACTCTCTCTCCTTTGGCTTCTGATCTCATCATCACCCAACAGAGATTGCTCTCTTCAAAGTAACCAATGATACCTTATTTGCCAAATCCAATGGCCTTTTCTTAAACCTCATCCTACATAACCTCTCTGAAGCGCTGACACTGTAGATCTCTATTTTCCTTCTTCCCCCCCATCTTTCTAGGTTTTCAGGACATTACTCTCTTCTGGTTCTCCTCCTATCCATCTGACCACTCCTTCTTAGTCCTCTTTGCTAGATCTTCATCCAGGTCATGCCCACTAACCCTAGGTGGCCCCCAAGGCTCTTACCCCTTCTCTTCTCCCTCCATACTAATTAACTGGGTGATCTCATCAGCTCCTATGGATTTCATTACCATTTCTATACAGATAATTATTAGATCTATTTATCCAGCCCTAATTTTTCTCCTGATCTCCATTCTTATGTCTTCAATTTCCTAGTAGACATCTTAAATTAAATATTCCAAAGACATCTTAAATTCAACATGTCCAAAACTGAACTCATGATAAAAATAAAACCTCTTCACTTGCAAATTTTCTTATTAGGATTGAGAAGACCAACATGCTCCCAGTCACCCAGGCTAGGCAGATGCCAACCTAGGTTTCATTCATCTGTTGCCAAGGCTTGTCAGTTTCACCTTCTTAACATCTGTCCTCTATGCTCCCTTCTCTCCTCTGACACTGTCTATTGTCCTCATATAGGAACTCAATACCCTATGCCTAGACTACTACAACAGCCTGCCAGCTAGTCTCCCTGACACAACTCTCTCCCCACTCCAGTCCATCCTCCACTCCACTGCTGAAATAATGTTCCTAAAGTGTGAGTCCAGCTAAGTCTCCCCTTCCCTGTACTCAATAAACCTCAGTGGCTGCCTAGAACCTCCAGAATCAAATATAAAATCCTCTTCTTGGCACTCAAAGCTTTTCATAACCTGCACCCCTACACAAACCTTCCCAGTCTTCTTATACATTAAAATACTCCCTCTCCCCCACCTTGCTCTGTGATCCAGAAGCACCGCCCTCCTCACTGTTCTTCTAATAAAATACTCGATTTCCCAATTCCAGCCATTTTCACTGGCTATCTCCCATACCTGGTATATTCTCCTTCTTCTTCTCTACTTCCTGGTTTCTCTGGCTTTCTTCAATTCCCAGCTAAAATCCCACCTTCCACAGGAAGACTTTCCCAATCCCTCTTAATTCTAGTGCATTCCCCTCTCTTGATTATCAAGCATATAAGCTTATTTGTACATAGTTGTCTCTATATTGTGAGCTCCTTGAGAACAGGAAATGTCTATTCCCTCTTTTTATATCTTTAGTGCTTTGGTACAATGTCTGGCACATCTTAGGTGCTTGATAAATGTTTACTGACAAACATTCTTGATCAAAAAAAAAAAAAAGCCAAAGCATTAGATTATTTTGTTTCACTGGAAATGGGTGTATAAGTTGTTTGTTTTTTTTTTAAATATGTGACTAATTCTACGCTAGGAAAAAAATATTTTACACCCTTGGTGTATACAGAATAAAAAGTTAAAGAGTAGGAGAAAGCCCATGCAAGTCAGTGAAATGGAAGGCTTATTTTTAATTAAATATTAAGTACCCAGCCTGTCCTGAATTCTATATCTGAACTACTCTTCACAAGTTGAATTCTAATTAACCAAAGAGACATTATTAGTTTTTCTTTATACAAGATATCTGGTGAAGTTTTCTTTAAAAAGTACTATAAGGGCCTTCAAACTTGTGAACAATTAAAAAAAATAGCCATAAGCATGTTCAGTAAACATTACTGGAATAATAGCTTATATTATATTCTTCTATCCAACTAAAGACAAAAAAAAAGAAACTATCCCTTTCTTTAATTTTTTTTTTAAAAAAGCATTCATAAAATACACCATATTTCATGGGATACCAAAACAAAACAATACAGGAACAAAGATAGCTAGTGTGAATTAATTTAGTCACACTAGAAAACAATATCAAAGTATAGCATAGAAGTCACTAAACCATTCATACTTAACTGATCAAGACATATTACCGTTGGACCTACAATTCCAAAGACAGCAAAAGATGAAGGAAAGGGCCCGTGGATAAAGCCTATGACTTTACAGGTTTTTTAACTTTATAAGTTTGCTTTATTATTATCATTATTATTTCACCTGTGACTTTACAAGTGTAATAATAATAATAGCAACCATTACTGAAAAATCAAGAGCCTTGGCCGTCACATGTGTCAGAAATGAATCAGAACTAAGATTTGAACCTTGATCTTCTGGACAAGGAAGCCAGTTATCCAACTGCTATGCAACACTTCCGG